CCCTGGGAGCGGTACTGAAGAAGTGGTTGAGACAATGACGAGAAGTGTTGCAGTACTAGACAATGCCCGTAAAGTGACTATTGAAAATAGACCTTTTACTGATACGGCGGCCATATTGAACTAATTCGATTTAAGGAGTATTATGGGATTCCCAGGGGGCATGAGCAAGATCCGTTGTACTCACTCAGTATTAAAAATATGGTCTTATACTGTATATTTCTCGGGAAAAAGGCGATATACCGTAACATTCCGAAAATAAGCCCCGGGGCTTATATTTTTCAAAGACCCTTTTGGAGGGGCTTATATTCGGAGAGGCTTTTCTATGGAGGGAAATTTGCATTTCAAAATCGATTGGGCTAGCTTTATAGTCGGAGGGAAATTTACCGTTTTTGCTTTGTTTTACTTTGTATTTGAGGGCAATTTCCAAGTAGAAGCCCCCGGGGGCTTATACTTGGGGGGGGGGGGGGATTTAACGGAGGGTTTTTTGCGTTACAAGTTTGGGGGGCTTATATTTGGAGGGGCTTATACACGGAGGGGCTTATTTTCGGAATTTTAAGGTATCATTATTACATCAAAACACGGCACAACGATCTTTTTTCCCAATACAATCTTATTCTAAGAACACTTTAGGAAAAAATGCCCCGAAAGGCGCTCGTAAAAACTAAACGGAATGTGCTCATGCCTCCCCTCCCCCAACTGGGCATCCCATAATACTGCTTAAATGTAACTTATTCAATAAGGCCGCCGTATCGGTAACAAGGTCTATTACAAGAGTTTGTAATCGAATTTCTACAGTACTTCCTGTGTTACTAACAATAAAAACTAGGGTAAAAACTGCGCCTTTATTTTGTTATTGTGTCCTGTTGGGTCAATAGTTATATAACTGAAGTCTTAAGCAATTTGTTATCTCCACCAGCAGTTGCCAGTGCATGAGAGTTCCTCAGTATAGCACATTCGCGGCTTGCTCTTGCGTGATCTAAATCTTGGTCGCAGAACTAAGTTCCTTTCAAATTCGTCCTTTTTAAAACCGCCGCATCAAATGGTTACGATATTGGCATAACTGAGTGGTCCGATATGTTTGTCAACACAAATTTACAGGTGTAACTGCACGTAGATTGAAAACCGACTAATCTTAGCCAAATTACCTATTAACATATCCGTTACATTATGACGTCAAAAACAACATGCTATAAAAGATGTAAAACATAGGCACGTTTAACGTGCATGAGCTATTTTGACTGCTTCGGTGTAACCGCGAATGATGAATCTCCTTTTTCATCCAAAACATGGACTGGTTTTTTTTGTGCGAAATTGGGTATTGCTGTACATGAATGAGAACGCGAAACGCTCAGCTGAGTCGTTCCTCATTCTATATTTTCATTTTCCTTTGTCTCTCCCTGATATATCTGGTGGAAGTTAAACAAATTGTTGAAGTACAATAAATATCAACTCACCGAACGTTGATTAGAAGGAAAACTCGAAGGTTTCAGGATTTTTATCATTGTAGTAGATGCTCATCATCCTAATTCACGAGGTTTTCACGTGCGATTCTACTCAATGAAACAGTCTTTAACTCTGACGACTTAATTCTTCATGTTTTAAAAGCTGTTGCTTCTTAAAAGACATGAGCCTTTACTGAAGGCATTGGTCAGTCAATTCGATGTAAGATTTTTTTTCACTCTAAAATCACTTAGCTTAGCTTTCCCTAAAAAGTCACATATGATTGGTTACGAAACGAAACAGGTCTTCATACGTTCAAGATACTATTATTACTGTAAAAAGCCAGTCTGCAAGAGATGTACAGTCACACAGTTGGCACGTGTGAGTGATGGACTTTTTCCCCTTTCGTGGTTCGTGCGTGAGGGAATTCGAGTTATCACACAGTAATCTAGAGCGCTTACCATTTGTATGGAAAACCCGGCAATTCCGGGGAGAACTCAAATGGAAAGGTTCATCCCGGTGGAAATTTTCCGGAAAAAAGTAATACGTTTCGAGGTATTACCTTTTTCCCGTTTTTACCGAAACGACCGAAATTTTCTGTACCATTTGTTTGGATTACAAGTGCCAGGCTTCATGTCGAGAGAAAGCGAAAAATTTACCGGTATTTTATAAATGGTACAACTCAATCCCGTCCCTGTTTTCGGTGCCAAAAAAATACCAGTACCATTTGACGGAAAATTTTCACCGAAATTTCCGTGCAAATGGTAAGCGCTCCTGGTAAACAGGATTATAAAAATAACTCATGCACACGATGTGCACGTGAAGATGTAGACTTGTCTCGCTTGATGGGTTCCATTTGCATTTCGCGCCAAAAATGCGGAGTTTGGGGTTTCAGGTTTCATTTGCGAGTCCTTGACTTCAATGGCGGAATGAGCTGATTCCACTTCGACTAAATCTATTGAACGTGTGTGTGTATCTCCATCATCGAAGGAGCAAATTTGTTTACTTTGTGCGAAAGTTGTCTCTAACAATGATTTTAGGCGAAAGTTGACGACTTCAGGGGGCCGGAAAAAAACCAAAACTTGTTTCAATCTCGAGTCAATACCGGGAAAGGAGATTTCACAACCAAGTAATCCTTGACATTCGAGCACATTTTAAACCTACAGAGACTTTTCAATACACGCATTTCTCTCCCTGTAACCCTCACGGGGTCAGAAAAGGTCTCATAAAGGGCGAAGCTTAGATTTTGCTAACTCCTCAGCAAAATGCTTGTATGAAAACATTGTGAGGTTACCCTCACAATCTCATAGAAAAAATCACCTCTGAGGTTGAATTTACCGAACGGAAGTTAGAGCAAAACTATAAGGTCACGTATCACACTATAACGAGCTTATGAGTCGTGTTTGGCCTGTCAACACGTTCCACTTCGCAATCGACCCCATGTTGGAATTGGAACCGCAAGTCACGTTTCAATGCGCTTAGTACTTGTGAATGACAGCTTTATCTCCAAGGGTCCTTGGGAGCTACTCTGATTGGTCCAAGCGCACCGACCCGTTCTTGGGTTGGTAAAATTGGCGCCAATCAAGTATGAAAAGTCCTTCCATATGAAATCCGACGAAGGACTTTTTTGAAAGTCTAGTGAAAATGTTGGAGTTAGCCCCTTTTACAATTTGTGCGTGAAAGAACGCATATTGTTTACGAGATGACTCTGCTCAGACGATTTTAACAAATCACCTCCTTTTCTGACATCTGCAATAAAGTTATGCGTCATTCGATGTTAAGGCCCGTTTCAAACGTCGTGCTACTGCCGTGCCGAACTGAATTAATCAAATTAAATTCGACTTTAGCACGGCAGTAGCGCGACGTTTGAAACCAAGTCGTGCTACTGCCGTGTAGCACGGCAAGCCTTGCCGTGCCACACGGCAGTAGCTCGACTTTGTTTCAAACGTCGTGCTTCCGCCGTGCCGCACTCAATTCATAAATTATAAATACATTAGAATACATTTTAAAGTTTGCTAAACCGTTTCTTTAGTTTTGTGTTCTGTTTTCGGCAACAGCCGTTCTATTCGACTGAATTAAATTCGACTTCTGAAACCAAGTCGTGCTAGTGTCGTGCTGCAGTCGAGCTACAGTCGAGCCAGCTTAGCACGGCAGTTGCACGACGTTTGAAACAGGCGTAACGTTGATACCCTAACATCATAACTTTACTTCTAACAGAATTTATGTCAAATTGCCAGTCAAATAGCCAAAATACCGATTTCTACTCTTCTCATATTATTCCACTCAATGAAACAAGCTCTAATCAAACAAACTAGACAAGCGATGCGCCCACGGAAGACTCCACGGAAGACGCGTTTATCACCCAGCCTCAGGCCAACGATGTCAAGGCACGTTAAGCGTGACACGAAAATGTCACGCACTGAAGATAACGAAATCCCCTTATTAAATAGGCATGATGAAGTCAAACATGGCAAATAAAAACTACCATGGTCTTACATCCCAGCATAAAGAAATGAGTTCAATTAATTTTCTTAAAGACGTATGGCCTCTTTCGCGATTCAGACTCGACGCGCTGTTGTCCTATTAGTACTGGTTGGAAAACGATAACTAGAGATTACTATATATAAATTTTTACAGACAATTGTATAGAAAATTTTAAAAAAACCTTTGAGGTTCTAGGTCTTCTAGCGCATGTAACGCCCTCAAATTTTTTCAGTAGAATCCTAAAGAGTGAAGCTTTAGTTTACAAATCATTTTTTTTCAAAACAGCCGTTTAACGGAAATTATTCGACATTAGAATTTAGATTCTCATACAAACACTAGCTGTTATTTCTTACGCGTTTGCCTACTCGTTAAGATGGCGTCGAAAACCGTGACAAGGTCTATGATTGATTTTCCTCTGGTATACTAAGTGTGATCGTTAGGAATCGATGGCAGATGATATACTGCATCAGGAGCCCATCCTGATTGTATTTGAATATGTCCCTAATAATTTCGAAGTGTTAATTCGAAGTTTGGCTAATTCATAAGGGTGTGATAGACGATACACTGGCGATAGAATAGCCATGATTGGTATGAGCTGGAGAATTTTCAGGAAGAATGTTCCGACTTCTAACGCACATCAAAGCTGCATAGCATCGCTAAATCTGTGCAGTAGATTCGCCATATATCCATAGGGGTCTTTCAAGAATGTACTTTACAATGGAAACTATGAGGACAGAGGTCAGGAACAGACTGGCCACGAGTAACCAAATTTGTTCTAAAGATAACCTAATTATTTTCTTTCATGAGTCATCGTGGTTACTCGTGGAAATTCCTCCTAAAGAAAACTTTTAGCCATTATAACTACTTTAATGCCTAGAAACCTATTAAGTTTTCTATCTTTTTTAATTCGTTCTTTGTTTCAATTCGTTTCGATAAAGGAGAGAATAAGAAATCGTGTGCGACGAGCCACAAATCGCACGATGTCAAGGCATGTAAAGCGTGACAAGAAAATGTCACGCACTGAAAATGACGAAATCGCCTTATTCTAATTGTTCTAAAATAGGCATGATGAAGTCAAACATAGCAAATAAAAAGCCACCAGGAGTCTTGCATCCCAGCATAAAGAAATGAGTTCAATTAATTTTCTTAAGGACATGTGCCACTTTTGCGATTCAGACAAGATTGTAGTCATGATTTAATATACTAATATACTTATTCCCAGTACTGCGAAAGTGGGGGGCCTGTTTCGTCTGGTAACGTTTTCTCTGTCTTTTAAATTCTCTTCTCCATTTTACAATCCACGGATTTTTATTTGCAAATATTCAACACGGTGTTGAATTAAATTTCCATGCGAATTGGCATGTTCCCGTTCCGTTCATAGTCGTTCGTGGCTCCAGATATCTGTGTAGCTTTAGGAGCGCGTTTCGAATATCCGCTGGAAATTCACATTCAGTGACTGTAATACCCGGCGGGCACTTTGGTATTTTTTGGGTGGGTATGTGCCGCCCGAGACTCCAAATTGGCACCCCGTTCTAAGAAAAAATTTCCCCAAAATTGATACCCCGTCGGCTAGAAACAGGCCAATTTTTTTATACCCCGTTCTAGAATTCGCCCTAAAACTGGTACCCCGTTCTAGAAATAGGCCAACTTTTTATACTCCGTTCTAGAAAGTTTGTAAATTGAAATAGCCCTGTTTTTTTAAAAAGATATTTCTTTATTGTTCGACTTATACATCAAATAAATCCCTCTTCATAATCATCCGGAGTACGTTTCCTGTGCATGTGAATACAATGCGGTTAATTATGACGCAAAATCTCTCACCACGCACAGAACCAGGCTCATAGGCTAACGATTTTGCTTCTCCTCTCCCGTCGCTTTCTTTTGAACCCGTTCCCATCTCCCTAGGGTACATTATGGACTCGTTCCAGACTTCCGCGCTCGCGGCTGGCGCGAAAATACGCCTGCCCTGCACGCTAAAACACAGGGTGCAACAAGAGTACAACAATTTGCTTTTTAACGCATTGAACCGTATTTTTAAAAGCAATCTGTTCTTGAATAATTTCAAATGGCTGCTTACAAAACTGGAACTTTCGTGCGTTCGAAATATTATACCCTGTTCTATAAAACGCCTCTGAAATGGATACCCCGTTCTAAATCAGGAGCTTCAAAATCACGATCCCGTTGGACGGCACATACCCGTAGAGGTAATGTATGGGAGTACCCTCTCCCCCCCGCTGTAATATAATACTCCGCTCCTTAGCAGAATATTTCGCACTTGGAACGTTTGTTTTGTCGGCCTCAGGAGATGGTGAAACAACTTTTGATTCACTGGATCTTCTCGAAGAGGAGACAAAGATTCCGGCGATTAAGAGCGTATTAACTATAACAGTGCAAAACACAATCTCGCTTTCCTCGAAGAGAGAGGGTGTCCAGACGACTGCATCACGACGGGAAGAAAAGAGACCGCCACAAGGGATAACTGCAGGCCTCTGCTATTCCCCTTGGAGGTAGAGAACAGTGAGGGTTCATCTGGAGTGATAACATAATTAATTCTTGTGACCTCTTTACCGGTGGGGGAGAAATAAATTTCTTACCTCTAATTCTTAGGAATTGGAGGTACATTCTACGCGCGGACATCATAGTCTCGGCCAGGGCTTCAGTATTACGGCCACTTGGGTGTAGTGTCTAGTGTTCAGATATGATCTTAGCTTCCAACCTGCGCCTGCGTATTACACTACTCATGCCAGAACGGATTTAAGAGACAAACATGTCCGTGGCGATATGAGGGTCTCTGAGGATGTATGACCAGGGGATGCAGAATGGCAGCCGCCGACGGGGAAAATCTGTGTTAGGAAGCCGTGTAGAAAAAAACACCTATTCAGTGGACCCCAACTCCTCAACCTCGTCCCAAGGGCTTTTCCCTCAAAAAATGGCTCACCCAGTTTTTGAGGGAAAAGCCCTGGGGACGAGGTTGCCAACTCCTGGTTTTCAAATGTGAAAGGCCCACCATCGCTCGAAATCAATAAAGAACCTCACCAGAAAAATTTTGAACACTTTTTATTTTAGAAATAGTAAATCCAGTTAATCAGGAAAAGCAAGGGCACTAAAGCTCACCAAACTGACGCAAAACAGCAGCAAAGCAAAACGGTTTTTTGTTTGTTTTCTTACAATAATGTCACCGAGAATTCCCCTTATATGAGCCTGCTCTTGATCGATGAATGTTTAACTGTTTCACACAAAAAATAAAAGGACAAACTAGAGAAAAAAAGACAAGGAGAAAGTTGCAGTCACCCTTTATTTGAACCCATAAAATACACTGCCTACATAGTAAGTGTTTCAGTAAATTCTTTTGAGTTACTAGTGCACTAAGCCCAGCCGTTCTCTAGATTTCTTTACCGCGCAAAGCCTGGATTTCTTCCCTCGCCCTGAAAAAGAAAACCCGCGCTTGCTACGCATGTTAGTTGTTTGGTGACGTCCCTGTTTAAGCTACACCCCACGCTTCACCTTCTATGAACGCAAGGGCTTAAGCTTTCGCACACATAATCTATGAAAACAGACCCCTACCTACAGTTGACCAGGGTTTCTAATAGCCCACGTTCTATATATTACAATTCCAACATGGCTCGGAGGCTTTCTTGTCATATTTCTATATTTGGTTTGGTTTTCTTTGAGCACAAGTCTCTTCTGGGAATTGTGAGACAATGGAGTCGTGAAAAATTTGCAATTTTGTCCATAAAGCCTCGGAGTTACGTTAGAGTTCTAATATAGCGAAGGTGGGGTATTTCGCAATTTACCGGGGTTCACTTCACTTCATGTTGTGTTTTTCCACGTCCACGACTAGCTATCGCAGCTCCGGAAGACAAAACGCGGTAATAACCGAGTGAGGACATCTGTTTCCTTAGATTGTCGATCATATCATTACATTACAACCACCTCTCTCATAATACGGAAACCAGAGTTGGCCCCTGCCCATTCTCGTTCCCACAAGAGCCACCGTTGCAAAAATCCTTATTGAGTTTTGGTAAATTGTGCCTCTGTTTTCGCACAAATTCTTTACCTGTTTTTGCTGTTATTTGTTTTCTTTGTATTTTCTAGTCAATAGTTTTCTTGGCGTAATAGTGAAGCCGTTTACTAGCACAAAACTCTGTTTCAAAAACATAGACTTCACTTTGTTCATTATAACTACAATCTTTTACAAAACCTACAAGACATAAATGTAATATTTGCATAACTAATCTTTGAATGATACAAAAGACTTTTGGACGTTAAAAAAACTATCTTGGCGAACATAGTTCTTGTTTGAGATAAATAGAGCGGTTTCTGGATGGCTAGCTGGAGAAACTTTAGTTTTTACACTGCTTACCCTCCCCTCCCCCCATTTCTTGTTAAAATTGTTGGAGTCGAAATGCTACTTCAAGGGGCGGCCATCTTAGTTTCAAATGTAACACCGACGGGGTGGGTTTCGGGGAACCTCGTCCCACCCCTTTCGCCACGTCTTACACCTCCCCAGATTACACTATAGTACATTTTAAACCAACATGGCTTAAGGTGATGTTACACGAGACAATTCGCAACGACGATTTGTAGCGCAGCACGGCATCACAACATTGTTGCCACATTGTTTCGAGTGGTTACAGCATTATTCCAACATTGCAACGCTGTGTTGCGATAAAAATCGTCGTTGCTAATCGTCTCGTGTAACATCACCTTCACGTAAAGGCACGCACCTTTTTCCGCGAAGAATGGGAAACTGTAAACAGTCTTTAAGTCTATAAAGATTAGTGGCATTATTACAGATAATAATGAGAAGTGTGACGTCACGTTACCATGGAAGCAAAATTTCTGGACCTCAACAATCTTTCCTGACAGAGACGGTAAGTTGCATTGTCGAACGATGGAAGAAAAGTATGGGCTGTCGTTTTGTTCTTGAGTCCACAGGAGTATACATGTTAAGTTTTCGTCTTTTTTTTTCCTGCCAAATTTGCAGGACCACAGTTTGTTGAGGTCCAGAAATTTTGCTACTATGGCAACCTGTTGTAACTAATGACTTCTTCCCTCTATAACCTGATCGCTTCAGTGAAACCGCTGAAATATGAGTCAAGCTTTCCCATGTATCTTAGAGGTTCTATACGTTCTCCAGAGCTCGCTAACGTCAAGTGCCTTCTCTTCAACTTATAAAGCGTTTATGGTGTCTTTGATTCGATAAATGGTACGTTTTATGTACATAAAGGAAACATTAAAGTAATTTATTGGCAATAACCAGTAGTCAAATATTTAGTAACTAGACCAATTCAAGGTTACGATGTGAAAAACATGAGCACTGTATTACAGAAATTTCACGAGGAAAACCCAGAAAATATTTCGCATTACGGCCACACTAAACGTTCCTTGGCAAAATGAATCTTTCATTACGTCAGTTGCTCTATTTATAACAAATCTTCTACTTCGTTTGAATAAATCTTAATTTACGAAAAAAGGATATATTTCTCAAACGAACGAATTAAGAATAAGCCAATTTACCCTAAGATCCAAGAAAGATCAAATTTCTCTCTCGTCTCACATAAGGTAGATACGTTTGCCTCGCCACAGCCTGAAACGATATTGTCTGTGACATTATGCATGCAATATATTCCAGAAAATAGACCAGCTTGGTAGCCTAACCTGTAAGTGATAGCGAGGTTGAGTGTGACTTTTATTTTATACAAACCACTGGCCTTGCTTGTGGAAATCACGCTTTAACAGCATGTGCAGCCTGAGACTCATTAAAAGCTAAGGTACTAAGAGTACAATTGTAAAATAGTTAATTCTGCATGATGTATGACATTTCTCTTGGCTCCTGGGCAGAAGTGGGTTAATCAGCTCCTGCTTAGAGCGACTGTGATACCCAGGTGAAATGGAAACCACGGTTAGGCAAAATTTAAGGGGGGAGGAGCAAACCAAGTGTATTATGGGCAATGCGAAGGAAACGAATTACACCTTAGCTTTTCAACTGAAAGTGCTTAAATCAAAGAAATGTTAGTCTAACAATAAATCCGTATTCGATGGTTTAACAGCTAATACTAAGAAATATTTAGTAAAATATTAGTATTTTCTACCTGTTAAGGCATCGAAAAAGGTGTTCGTACCTATAGCAACTTTGAACAAAATCGACATCCATCACAAGTTTTGGCAAGACTTTCTGCTTTTCACGGAGAAAACGATTCGAAATTTACATACATTACTGACCATTTTATGATTATATTACAAGATCGTTAGATATCTTTTAAAAAGGATAATTAGCTCGTCCAAAATAAAAGCAATTAAGCTCTTAAAACGTTCACATCGTTAATAACCTCGCTGGTAATTTTATAGTAACTGAAAATAGTTTTGTACATAACTTAAGATTCTTTCATTTAAATGGATAGCAAAATCTTACTTGTCCTGAATTTCTTCCATCTTTTTCCACTGAGATAAGTTCTTGATGTCCAAAAAGACTTCCCACTGACGCCTTTGTACAGATTGTTCGCGTGACGAACGTTCAGCAGAGGTGAAGTGCCGTTCGTGTCCACTTCTTTGTTTCACCACAAACCGCCTCGGCTTTCGTTTACCCAGGAGGCTGGAACCCATTGAGCCTCGACATCAAGTTTATCAATGACTTGCCTAAGTTCATCAAACGTTCTTTCCAGATCAGTGTTTACGATCGTTTTCTCGAAGTAGTGTCCGTACGTTTCTTCCATTTCTCGTCCTTTGTCTACTATATCACGCAGCTCTGCATCCTTCAAATCACAAAATTATATTCTTACGCTATTTATCTTTCGAGATTACAATACAGCACAAACCAGTTTACAAACGTTGAAGCAAAGCACATGCGTAGCCAATCAAAACTCCTGTTATATGATTAAGGACAGATACGCCGCCAATCAGAGCGCTTGTTGTAACAACTAACACACAAAATCGCAAAAAAGGATCAAACTCTCCTGAAAACCCACAGGCGGCAGCGGTACACAGTCAATCAAAGTGCTTGTTATGTCATTAATAACAGACAGGCAGTCAATCAACTCGCTTGTAATATCACCAAATTACAAGAGAACACAATGAACTGGACAACTCAAAACATGGACAAAACAATCAGCACAACATACCGTCATTTGGCCGGTCGGTTTAGGATTGAAAGGATCGACTTTCCCTCTTCGGATTGTGAGGATTCTGTCATAAGATGCCGGCGATATAAAAACCACGTAAGGTTTAACATCAGAGGCTTTCAATACCTTGAGCGCCTAGGAAAAGTAAGGAGCTGTGAGTTACAGGGTCTAGAAAAGCAATAAAGGGCCAATTCAGCAAATACCAAATCGGTCACGGGATGCCGGGAGGAAATGACTGACTGAAAAGGCATAGGATTAATTAAAACAGAAAAAAGGAGTGAAAACAGGTACTCAAAAGCCACGAGGAGCACGGATGGGCAAAACTGGAGAAGGATAAAACGGATGGCCTTCGTGTTGGCTTCCAAGAAAAAAAAAATACCTTCCATCCAGTCGATGAAAAATATCCGTAAGGCGCGAGAAAGCACGAGACACGAGAAAGCATGGATGTCTCGCGCGTCACGCTTTCTCGCGTCACATACTTTCTCGCTCCCCACGCTCCACACTTTATCCTTCCTTGCTATTTCTCGCACCCCGCGCTTTCTCGTGCCCCATGTTTCTTCGCGCCTTGAGCTCTCTAGAGAGGAACAACTGCTTCTCAGGGCTGGAATCATGTAAAATTTTTGCTATTTCAACACCAAGAATGACGTGGCATACCTCGCAATGTAGATTTAAAATACAATATTTTCCAGAATTGGCTACTCTCCTTATGGAGTCCAGAGCGGTACAAAGTAGTAATCTCTTTCATGCACTTCTTCGGGCCTTTTCGGCCGGCTGGTATCTAAAAAAGAAACAGAGAAGGTTTTGAAGCTTTGTGCGCTTAGTATACTGGCCCTTAAGCTAAATGAGAGGCTGAAGTTGACTCTGTTGTATATAAACCTTCGGATAAAAAGTAACGCTAAGCAAATATACCAGTTACTAAACGAATAACATGATCTACATAAAAAAGTAGAAAGGGTTTTATAAACACAGGACAACAATTGCGGAAAGAGCTGAAATGATCATGGAACTACTCTGTATCATTTCTTGTGGAAGGAAACAAAATTTCGCACTTAACACTTATCACATAGCGTGTAGCCGGTGCCACAGACGAATTTAAACCTCTGATTTAGTCTGCCTGCGAGCTAACTAGCCAGTCAGCAAAGAGCCTGCGAGCAGAATAGAAAGCCGGCGCAGAAATATTTTTTCTGGGCTCCCGGCTGTGTACCAAAATTTGACTACGCGCTACGATTGGCCTGCTAAAAAAAGCCATTGTTCGATTGGCTGATTAGGTTAGAGGGAAATTCGAAACGCACTTCTGGTAATTCGTTCTGCGACGCAGTTTTCAGGCAAAGTTGGAATAGTGGGATGAAGACAAAAGATTTAGAAGACTTCTCTCACCTATGACGTATTGAGCGGATGAACGACTCTTTATCTGGTTGGCCAACAATCTTTGTCTGTCTGTAAGTTTATCTGACTGCCTAACTGCCTGACTGACAGACTGTCTGGAGGATGACTAACTACCTGGCTAAAAAAACCGAGCGTAAAACAATAGAGCAATGGATCGACTGACTCACAGCTCTACTCACTAAACTGAAGGCTACCAATCGACACTTATAAAGAATCAGTATCATTAATAAGGAACATCAGCATTGGATGACCCGACAAGGCCGATTCTGGCCTGAAATTTTCGCGCAAAAAGTGGGAGCATTGGGATGAAGAAAAGAGGGATAGACGAGTCTTTTCTCCCCTTAATCAAAGTGCTTTGCGTTAAGTCTGTCTGAACGTTTATCTGACTGCCTAACTACCTGACTAACTGCCAGGTTAAAAAACCGCGAGTAAAACAATGGAGTAATCGATTGATCAATCGATCTATGATCGACTCACAACACATACACATGTACTGACTAAACTGAAGGTTATCAAACAATACTTACGAGGAACCACTCCCGCGAATCGTTCTTGTGAATATAAAATCAGCCTTTTTCTTAACTCTTTCCTACCAACTTTGTCAGGCCCTGAAAGTGAACAAATCATAATTAAACAACTGTCTCAGGTAAACCTTAAAAGAGAAAATATCAATTTAAGCAAACCAGTTGGCTACTTACAACTGTGGTTCAGGAGTTGAAGAATATCAACCAACGGTCAGAACGCGACCTCAATGCGGATTTCGAATTATTAAATCAGATCTCGCTTATTGTTTTATCATTTACCTACCACGCTAAGTCGAGTTCTAAGCAAACGTCAAACGGTTTTATGTAATTTAGAAAAGAGTAATTACGTAAGTTCGTTTGCAAGTTCAAAACCTCAAAATTACTAAGATCTTGGACATTTTGCCATAAAATGCACGATGTTAAAAGGTACATTTTAGTAGATTTTGAGCACAGAATTGTACTATCTTCTTGTCAGAGAGAAAATCAAGTAAAGGAGTAAAAAACGTTCGATGAATTATCGGAAATAAGTAGCCTGTTACAGCGTCGTAGCTGGAGAAATGAACCAGCGACGGCGATTATTTTTGAGGCAGAATGGTGAGCGTTTTAGACTTGCCGTTTATAAGAACCACAGGGGCGCTTTCTTTGCGGGTCGGGCTGTAAGAGCGCTACTTCTTCGTATGTTAAAACTTCGTCGGCAACATATTCTACGAAAAAAGCATAGTAATTAACAAACATAAAACTTTGCCTTAAGAGACGAGTAACTATAAGGGACCTTAAGAAGCGAGGACGACGACGGCAGGGAAAGCGTCGCTTAAAAAAGTGAATTAGCGGTCTTTAATCTTTATCGTGATTATTCCAACTCGCTTACTTTACCAAATGTATGCGAACTCTCCTGGAGTTGAATTCCTAAGAGTTTTGTCCAAGTTCAGACAGTGAAAGAACATTTCGTACTTGCTAGTTAACGACCTTCATAAAGCATGACATAAGCCAATTTCATGTCGTAGTATTGAGCTTTTGACGTTCTCGTTGCCGTGGCCGTTGTCGGATCTTAAGGCCTCTAATCCCGTCGAGAAGGCTCAAGAGTCGCGTGTTAGCCACCCGCCGCACAACGAGGCCCGAGTCTTACGCGACTTCTGAATTCCTCCTGTCCATAGTATACAATAAAGCAAGTCAAAAGGCCAAGAGTGGTGAAAATCTTCACGCAGTAAAACTTTCTTAAGACTAAGTCCTGTACTGCTAACGCAAAAACAAACTTCAAAACCCTCTATCCTTAGATTTCAGCTGCTAAACCAGACATAAGGGTCAAGGAAAAAAAAAACGGAGAAGGGGGGGGGGGGGGTCTGAACACGGGCTATTTCTCTGTAGCCTATTTAAGGGCCTCGACCCGCTTTTTTTCGCTCGTCTCGTGTGACTAACTGAGAGCCTGAAACTGGCAATTTTTTTTCCCGATGAAAACGCTCCTCAAGCTACCAAGCCTTAGAAGTCATCGTGATTAATTGATTGACCTGAAAAAAACTTGTTTCACTCTGATCGTAACGGAAAGGAGGGGTACTGTCTCTGTAAATACAAAGTTTTTTGATAAAAAAAAAACAACAAAAAACAAAAAAAAACAAAAGAGTTCAATCATAAAAAAATGCAAGTGTGGAAGCTACGTCACCAGTACGCCTCTACAAAACCAAAACCCGTTGTTTAGTTAACATATCGCACAATTAATACAAAGAGTGTAAACTCAAACCTTCGTTATGCTGAGCGTTGTAAAGAACCTTTTTTCTTCGTTTTCGCCTGAAACAAAGGCATCCTCTCTCTGCAAGAAAAAAAAGATTACAACAACAAGGAGAAAGAAAAACATTTGAAAAACACGTTAAAGGACACTCGATAAAAAAGACATTTTGCGATACAGGAACATGAAAAAGCGTGCGAGCGGCAGTTTCTTAGCGTTGCGGTCCTCACCGATGACGTCGGCCTTTCGAAAATGGCTTGGTTTTATTTAAACCGCTTTGTGGTTGGCCAAAAAATCTCGCGCCACTTTTCTCAACCAAGCAAAATAAAAACCAAAACCCAATCGAGACTATGCTATGCTCGTTTCCCGCGCTTGGCGCTTGCACTGCGCTACACGCATCTGCTTCGAGTTTTGATTGGTTAATTTAATTGTCAGCTCACGTTGTGATTGGTCAGCGCCGGCAAACAACAAACAAAAGAATATAAGCTGTTCTTACTTTCTCTATTCGGTTGTTCCGCTTCTTGGGTTGTTTTCTTCATTGACTCTTTTCTGCAAACACAAATCTATCTTAATATTTCATGCAAGTGTTATCTCACAAAGTTTACTCTTACTTGGTTTACAGTTAAGAAAAAAAGCTTGTAAAGGGGAAAGAAAGATCCTTTCATCAGATAACCCAGTTATTGACCAGAAAGCAAAAACGACGCGGGGACAAAAACACTCTAGAACATCAGTGTCGAACATGATTCAAAATAAGTAACGAACTCACTGCTGTTGGAAGTGCTTAGAAGGAATAAGTCCAGCCAATGTTTTGCCTTCTTCCCCACTCTCCATGCCTGAACAAAAACAAAACAATAAAGTACCAGTCTCTGTTCAGGTTGATTAAACCAAAAACAAGGGCGTCAGATGAAATAACTTTAATCAGCAATGAAACCAAACCTAACCTCAAGAAATATTTGCTAGATAACATCACTAAGACCTCAACAGCATAATTTTAACCTGTCTTTGATGTTAACAACTACAGTAGAACCCCGATAACTCGAATTCGGATAACTCGAACTCCCCGCTAACTCGAACTAAGTCCGATTTCCCCTGCATGGATTTCACTCTACTTTTCAGTTATTTTTACTCGGTTAACTGGAACTCGGATAACTCGAATTCCCCGCCAACTCGAACTAAATTTCATTTCCCTTGTTTAAAAATTCACTGAAATTTACCCCGATAACTCAAATTCTGGTTCTTGTATTTCCACTTGGATGCCATCCCATTACTTCTTCTTTTTGTGTAATCGATAAAAACACTAAAACTCACACTGGTCAACACTTCATCAATTTGATTTTAATGGGTGTAACGAACAGATCACGTTTTATCATAAAAAAATGCCTAACCGTTCTGAGTTTTGCAATCGAACCCGTTAACTCGAATCCTCGCTAAGTGGAACCGTTTTTTGTTTCCCTTTAGAGTTCGAGTTACTATATTGTTACTTGCAGAAATCCTATTCAACTTAAGAAGCTGACTTTTATTTCGCGAAAAGAAAACTTATTATTCCAGGCCATAATTTTTTCTTTAATTTTTTGGAATTGTTTTCCCTTATTATACTGAACAGCTTGATCACTTCGAACGTATAAGGCAGGCCGAGACAAGAACGAGGGTTATGAAGAGTTCAAATTCCGGTTCTCTCCCCTAACTGTACATGTCAAGCACTCTTGTTGAGGGCCTGTACACTGAAAGACGCGCAAAGGCAACACATTCCCTCGCATCTTTTACAACAAATGACGTCACTAACCTGCCACCAGTTAGGATCCTCTTGATTGACAACATGAAGAATATCGCCTCGTCTGAATGCTAGCCCCAGTTCTCTACACGGTACCAAGTCATCCTCGTATGGGTGATAGTCGAAATGCGCGCGCACATGAACCTCTCTATCCGACGGAACTCGGGACCGATTTGCTGGGTTCAAAACGAAAGTCAGCTTTCCATTCATGTCTGCAAGCAGCTCACAGACCTCCGCTACCGTATTGCCTCTCATGTTCACTTCGTTTATTTCGAGAATTTCGTCACCTTCTTGCAGGAGACCTAAGAAACCATGATGAGAAAATAATTAAACAGTTGATTAGGGAAGCAGTTTGGATGAAATTCATTCTATGGTCTCCCTAAAATGAGTCACCCTCTCTGAGTTTCTTATTTCTCACGTTTTAGTAGTTGAACCTGACAGCAGTTTTTCCCAAGCGAGGCACTGGGCCGAATGGTCACAACATTTGCTTGACATACGTGAACAGATAAACTGCGTTTAGGAGTTATCATTGCGCGCTTGCGCGAATACAACGAAATGTTCAGACGTGAATCATCTCATAGCTACGTGTCAACTGTCTCAAATCCATAAGGCCGATTATTATCCGAGAGTTTAGCCAGTGTCAAATAGAGCACTGTTTTAACATTGAGAAAAGTGTCCGAAAAACTTAAGCAGCTGACCAGAAAAACAGCACGTACCAACAGATCCGGGCTAAGTTTACACTAGAGCTATTTTTCTAGATTCGAGACAAATCCGATACATTTTGGCACCAGTGAAACTGAAACAAAAACTGCTCACTTTGGTCGTGTGTCCAGAGACTTCGAATCCGGAATCGAAATCCAAGATCCATCTCTCCCTTTCGGCCAAGTTAGCTATGATGTCCGTGGGGATGCCAGATAGGCTTCCCATGTTCGCTTCCAGCCTCGCCCCCATGGCTTTCCCCTCCCATTGTCTAAGAGAAAAGCCCTAGGGACGAGGTTGAATACCGTTAATCAACAACGTTCGCCCCATGCAATCTCACTCCAATCTGTATTTTACGACTTTCACATTCGCACAAGCAATATTTGTTTTCCCCGAATTTTTTACATAGGTATTGTTTTCAATTTCCCTCGGGACTAATAATCGTCTTTTGAGGAACTGAAAACAAATTGCACCCTGGAGATCGTGAAAGTAGCAGATTAGGAGTGCGTTCTCCTAGGTCGAACACACTAACGGATGTGTTACTTCTACTCACCGCACTTACCCGCAGCTCCACTCTTAACAATTCTTTCAATCATCACGGTGCCATTTTCATTTTTGACTGTGGCTCAGAGTGGATCAGTTGCCTTATCTATTCTCACGATCTTTACGTTGTCGTCCTCCACTAGTGAAAACTCATCCGTGGCCTGCTGAGCCTCTTGATGCTGCTCAGGTTCAGACTCCATCTCTTGTTCGTCTTCTTCACTCGGGAGAGCTTCCCTGAACGCTAGTCTATCGTGCGCTAGTAGGAGACTCTGTCAACAAAACTGTGGAGAAGGGGAGAAAGGAAAGCTTATGAATAGTCGCGTGAACGAAAGTAGGTGAACAGAAAACCAGTCGCTGCGGTCACACTCCCACACTATGTCACCACAATTATTATTCCCAGAAGATTTGGGGTTTTAGTTTACCTGAGGTGACACGTACCTTCAGGATTTTACGACGTTTCACTCCGAAATAAGCTTTCTTAGACCTTCACACGAACACAGCGTTTGCAAATTAGGTCAAATTAGGACCTAATCACGCGCTGCATGTGCAGTGTCCAAAACTCAGCATCTCACTGGTAGGTTTACCTAGGGAAACTAGACGACTTTTTAAATCCCCAAAGGTTTTGCTTCAGCCTTCAATTTCCCTTCCTCCAGAAGCGCTTACCATTTGCATGGAAAACCCGAAAATTCCGGGGAGAATTCGAATGGAATGGTTCACCCCGGTGGAAATTTTCGGAAAAAAGTAATACCTTTTGAGGTATTACCGAAACGACCGAAATTTTCTGTACCGTTTGTTTGGATTACCAATACCAGGCTTCAAGTCGAGAGAAAGCGAAAAATTTACCTGTATTTTGTAAATGGTACAACTCAATGTTCCTGTTTTCTGTGCTCAAAAAACTACCAGTACCATGCAATTGACGGAATTTTTTCACCGAATTTCCCCACAAATGGTAAGCGCTCCAGGTCAACTGAAAAATCAACGCAGGCAAGTCTCCCCCGGTCAAATAAATTAAACAAGGAAACACCACGTGCGCTTGAGAAATAGGGACCTTACGTCCCGACAACAGCGACGTCAGTAATTTCGCCGCTGAAAAATAGAGTTCGCGCGCGTCCTTTCCAACTTTTTTATCGATTTCTCCAAGTTGCCAGGTTATTTAAAGTAGGGGCCTACGCTAAACGTTGAACTTTTCATGAGACGAAGCAAACTTATTGAGTAAAGATCATGAAATGTTCGACAAATGTTTGGCTCAGTTAAGTTTGTCTGAATGAGTTTGGATCGTCCAACACGTTCTATCCGTCTGAGCGTCTGACGATCGTCTCCGGAACCAACGTCGATCTGCATATGCGACGAACTAAACTAATACTAGAAATGAAAAATTTGTATGACAATGTTTATTTAGCCTCATACGTGGATCTTTTCATGAACTTTACTCGCTAAGTTTGGCTCGTCTCATGAAAAGTTCGACGTTTGGCCTAGGCCCAGGGAAGTCAGGTTAAAACTGCAGTGAGGAGACCAGCTCTGTGTTTAGACAGACATAATAAAATTTATCGCCTTGTCGATCCCTTCTTCAAGTAAACTTAAAATTTGACCATCTCAAGTAGTGGTCGTGCAGGAACAGCAAAAAATCTACAAAAAGCGTGCTAAACGAGAAGAGTTGTTGTTTTGCTGACCAAACCTATCGTGTCTTAGACTTTCTTTTTTATGCAACACCATCTAATGTAAATGGTACTGCGAAATAAACGTTGTTGTTGTTGTTGAGTGTTTTCACATGACGTCACGGTGGCCATATTGGTGTCCCAAAACAATAAAACGGCCGCCATGTTGGTGCCCAAACCAGTCCTGTGGGAGTTGAACTCTTTTCTTATGCAAACGGTTCTTTTGTCCCAATAAATTTGCAAAGATGCTGGCCACGTGAGTGAAAACACTCTATTACCTTACATGCGATATTCATGCAAATGTGAATATTCTACCGCTCAAAGTAATCAAATACAAATCCCAAAAATATTACTACCATTGTTTTTCTGTGAATGCCAATGTGGGTAAAGAGGATACCCTGCGAGCAGAGGCCCTTCGATCTTGCTAGATAAGTCGGGAAAGAGGAGGCGACTCGTTCCTTCCTCTTCCCGACTTATCTAGCAAGATCGAAGGGCCTCTGCTCGCCCCAGGGGGGGAGGGGGGTACTGCCATATATGGGCTATATAGGTATGTGCCGCCGTGAAGGGTATGGTTTTCAAGCAGTTTACTCCAGGATAGGGTATATAAATCAGAGCGTTTGGGTCTAGAGTAGGGTATCATTTTTCAGGAAACTGATCAGATGATTGAAGATTTTATCCAGACTAGGGATTGTGGTATAAGGTTTTGTTGGCTAGACTGTGCTAGTGACCTCAGTAGTTTATGGAAAACAGCTACTCTAGGATAGGGGGATTTGGGAGTTTACTCTAGTATAGGGTAGCAAAATTCAGCTGAACTAACTGTGGTATAGGTTAAGGGTTCCAGGGTCCCAGGGCACATCCGCACCCAGAAATTCCTAAAGTACCCCCGGCTGCTCGAAGGGTATTAAGAGGAAAGAAAATAGCCAGCTGAATTGAACCTTAACAGGTTATGATGGAGTCCACCGACACTGCAAGAAAGAGCGCCTTAAAATCAGTAAATTTCCCCGCTATTTTTTTTGCTTTGCAAAGTTTCGAAATTATACAGACGCCCGCAGGTAACCCAGGCTCTGTCATAGTACCACAGTACGGTTCCAGTAAAATTACAGTGTTTGTATGGGGTAAAAATACCATCCTAAAATTTCTAGGAAATACTAAATAAAGATCAATGAAAATTACTCTGCAGTTAATTGTTGTTGTTCCTATTGCTTCAACGACGTTTCGTGATAATTTGCAGTAATTTGTTCAAATTCACTCTTTATACAATAATAATATACAAGGTAGGAAACACGAGATGCCATTTTCGCCAACATGCTCTCATTCAACACAACTTTTTCCGCGAAATTTGAACTCCAACGGAAAATAAACATGCCAGGATCGTAGAAATAGGATAGCAGCGGATATATAGAAACCAATGAAGCTTTCCCAGATAGAGAAACGAATCCCACAGACTTTGACAAACTCGAAGGATATAATCCAAACAGACCGAGAATATGCTCGCCGAAGCAGCCGGGCCAGATCAACGCGCGGCCAAGAAAATGAGGCCTGGGCACTGTACAAAAAAATTCCATCCCGGGAGTCCTGGGGCGGACCACCCTGGGGACCGATACATCATTTGCCCAAAGCCACCCTCCCCTGCTGGAAAAATACTTGATAGAAGGCAATTGTTCTTCCTAGCCAATCACAATTCGCCAGAGCAAACCCCGCACACGCGCCTAAATTTAAATGGCCAAAAAGAATAAATAAAACCAGGATAGTCTGCCGAGTTACAAGGCGCCCCATTTCTTTTACTAAGGAATGCAAACAACAGTAATGAAACTAATGAAATAACAACGCGAAATACTTACAAGGCGGGCTAAAAACAAGGTTGAAGAAAAGGTAGATGATGACTGAGATACTGTTGCTGTGAACTATCGAGCGAAGCTATCGTAAATAAACGGTGAAGCTTACAAAATAATGTCAAAAATTATACAGAAAATTGGATTTACTTTGCAGGATTTACTATATCAAATCATAAACTTATGATTTGAAATCAGGATTTATTATATCAAATCATAAACTTATGATCTGAAAACAATGTTTATTATTTCAAATCATAAAGGTATGATTTGAAAAATAATTTATTATATCAAATCATAAAGGTATGATTTGAAATCAGAACTTATTATATCAAATCATAAACGCATGATTTTAAATAATAATTTATTATATCAAATCATAAACGCATGATTTGAAATCAACATTTATTATATCAAATCATTGACGTATGATATCATATCAGAAAACTTTATTTAATAAATAACGAAAAAATGACAAAATTAAGCTAAATCATTTTTTTTACAAACGGCGCCCCATAAACTAATGATGCAGTGCAACATGTAAGAAATAGATGAGGCGCTTGGAAGACATCAATAATGATTTTTTGTTAATCACATCGACACACAGGTCATCACCCCCGGCGGCGACTGGGATGCTTTTAATAGCAGTGATACATCAATGTAACATACCTCTTCTGTCGCAGGAGCAAAACCTGAATTGCCAGGAAGGCTCGGAAGGGATGCCAAAGCTTGGTCAACCGCCCTTTCTACGGCTCTAGAGACCGCAGAAGCGATTGACCTCGATAGCTGCTCTGGTTGTGT